GGCGCAAGGTGAGGCGCAGGCTTCACCGAAGTGAGGTGCACCTTGTACGGAAAAAAATATATAATTTAATATATGCAAATAATTTAGGGTTCAACATAAACAAAATGAAATGTTAAACATTTAGGGTTTTTTGGAGATTAGGAATTAGCACTAATTTTTCTTCTATCATTGATTTGGGGTTGAATGCCCAATGTATTGGCATTTGTAATAAGAGTAGGAATCTTCTATAGCTACACCATATTAAATCAATAGTTAGATTTTAAACAAAATCAATTAAAGCAACAATAAAAAAGTCCCTCAAGATGCAAGCCTTGGGCCAATTAGGTGTCTTATCACAGTCGTCTGGCCTGGAACACTACAAGGCACAAACCTTGGGCTTGGATGGGACTTGGGCCTAAGCGCATGCCTAGGTGCGCCTTATCGAAGTCGCTTAGCTTGGAACACTAAAAGGTGCAAACCTTGAGCCTGGATGGCACCTTTAAGAACACTAAAAAAGTATTTCCAAAATTTATAAAGTCATACCTATAGTTAATTATATCACAAGAAAGATTAAGTGTATTTGCAATTTATCCTTACAAAAGCTTAATTAGTAATTTTGCATCACAAAAACTAACAAAAATTAGTTTTTGATGAAACTAAGATAATAAAAATTAATATTTAAATATAAAATGTCTCATTTTTAAAATTTTGCATCCAGCCAGCTAAAGGGTTGGCCACCCCATATGGCTTGATATGTTCTTCTCTAATGGAGCATGACAAAGCTGTTCTCATTAACACCGAAGAAGTTTCAAACACATATTAAATCATCCCTCTCAAAGACTATCAAATTCGAGTGCATACCATTCTTTTGGGAAAGTTATACAGATTCCTATCAATTAGTGGTCCAAAATGGTTGAGTATGAACAATCAGTCATGGTCAGTAGAATAGTCTAAACCAAATTGGCACTAAAATCAAACAACTTAATTTCCAGTTGATTTGGACTTTTTGAGAAAAGAAAGGCATTTGAAACTTCGCAAGAGGATAAGTAAGCTAATAAATAGAATGGAAATCATCTGTATCACCCTTTCATTTTATTTTTTATTGGAAATAGTCTAGTTTCTCAACTGTACAACTCCATTTCATGTATGCTACTACTAGAGGACAATGACATGTTTAGAGTTTGCTATCACTGCCAACTTCTTTATTACCATAGATTTTTGGATATCTCATCATGTGTAGCTTCAATTAGGGGCTTGCTCAGGCTTATGTATAAGAGAGATAAAAGGAGCATCACTTGATTCTATTGATTTAAAAGGCCAACAATTCTAAAATACCAATTTTAACCCTAGCAATGTATTCCCTCTCTTGTGTTCTCTTCTCTCTAATCTCTCTCTTCGCTGCCTTTACCAAAGTAACAACAGGCATACAAGTGGAAGAAAAAGCATGCTTCTCTCCAAAGCTAATCACACAACAAGCCAAAGCCTATCAATTTTATACAAAACATAGAAAACTTGTTAGGTTTTTGTTCTTGGCAATCCCGTTTGACAAAACTCCTTTCAATTGTATTTATTTTCGCTCTTGTATTTCAGTGAGGATATGAGTTTTAGATGCGAATCCAACCCGAATTGTGCCTTTCAGAGAAGTTTGTGATGCTAATACTTTCAAGATTGCCACTTCCCTGATTATGACAGGGATCGAGCTGCCCGATCAGCTCGCGGGGGTCGAGGGGGCAGCGTCCCTTGGCGGGTCAGGGGCAGCGCCATGGCGGGGTCGAGGGGCAACGCCCCCGAAGAAAAATGCAAAAATGCATTCAAAGTTTCCTGTCCGCTCAAGCGGACCTTCCCCGCTCTAGCGGAGAATGCTGGGTTTCAGAAGTTTGTCAGGTCTGTAAAAATGCTGGAAGGTGTGATTTCGCGCTCGAGCGGACCTCTGTTTTGTCACACGCATATTTTGCTGAAGCCGCTCGAGCGGGCTGTTGGACGATCGAGCGGACCGCGCGAACACAGTTTTACGGATTTCAATAAAGATTGGGTTTTCTTCCAAATCTAGAATTACTTTTGGTTTTCTATAAGTAGTTGGTTTTCTCCCAAAACTAGACTACTCCACAAGTCCTCCAGATCTTCTTTTTGGGTTCTAAGGTTTATATCTAGGGATAGTTTTCTTTGATGTTTTGATTGAGTATTCAACTCATGGTTTAAAGAGTATACATCAAAGGATTGTTTGTTTAATTCTACGCAAAAGAGAGAGTTGTTCTTCGGTGGATTCTGAAGAATTCGAGCTTGAAACTTTGGTGGATTCCGGAGTGGCTCATCGTCAAGACAATTCTGAGGTGAAGACGGGGTTGGAAGAGACACATAGAGGTTGGTTCAATTCGAACGTGGATTCGCTATGTAATTGAGAGTATACCTGTGTAATTCCTTTAAATCTTCTTAGTGGATTGTTTTGTGGCTGTTGCCCGTGATTTTTTGACCACAGCCGGAGGTGTCCAATTGTGGTTTTTTCACATAAAATCGTTGTGTCTCTTTGTCTTGATTGTTTGATTGGGATTGTTATATACTGCTTAAAATTGATACATAATCACAAATCAACATCTAGGAGATTTCTAGATTTTTCAAAACTAAAAAGACCAATTTAACAAATAAAACCATAAAACCAATCCATTATCACTAACTGACGACCATGAGTGTTTGAAGAGCAACCCATTGACAATTCCACAAAACAGTAGAAACCCATCACCAGAATTGTTGAAAAACACACAATCTAACAAGAAAATTATAGAATTCAAATGAAAAAGAGACAAAGCTAAAGAAGCTTACAATAAAATGGGTATTATAGCTTGGCCTCTGGTTCAGACTGGTTAACAGTGGGGCATTGAAGAGAGAGAGAGAGAGAGAGAGAGAGAGAGAGAGAGAGAGAGAGAGTGTGAGTGTGATGAGAGAAAGTGGAGCACAGGTTTTGCTACCCGCCCTATTATACTCGTCCCAATAAGGAAGTGGGGCAGGAACCAATTTTGCTACCCGTCCCGTTTTCCCGACTGTTTGATTATTAAATATATTCATACGTATATAATATATAATTTATTTTTTTATTATAATAAACTACAATATTAAAATATTATACTTAATATTAATTTTTATTTATTTATTTTTATCTTATATTTTTTTTTGCTCATATCGTATATCTTATAATTCTTATTAAGTATAAATTGTTAATATACTATATTATTCATAATTTTTATTAATATTTTTATTCTTTAACTTATAAAATTAATCCATTTCTTGTCCTGCACCAACCACTCCCGATTTGTCCCATCCTTAAAATGATATGGGATAAAAATAAATTACTACAAAAGCCTATTTTGTCAACTAGGTTAAAAGTTAGCTTTTTAATTTTTTAGCGTTTTTAAGTCATATCATCTCTATTTTTTTATACATTACTTTTATAAAAAAAACTAAAAAACTAAAAAACTAACTTTTAGCCTACTTCTAAAAATAACTCATCTCAAGCCCAACCTGTAAAGCAAAGGACTTAGAGTAAGGAATTAAGGTGAGTGTAATATAGTAATTTCATTTGTTTCATTAATTTATTAAGATGACTGTTGCTCCTTTGTCTCTCCCAATTTCTCTTTTGGTAGCTTCTAAAAAAAATAAAACTCTTTATATCTATTGTTTAATTAAAGAATTTAATCAAAATCTCTTCATAATAAAACTACATACATTAACGACAAACACAAATTTTTTTCTTTCAAAAGTCCAACACTCATCACTATTACCAAAATATTCCTAGTGAGTAATTTAAAATTTAAAATTTAAAAATGATATAACTTTTTATCTAAATGTCATTTTTTAATAAAATTAGTATTTTTAGAATTTTCTTATCAATATTTATCAAACAAGTTTTATGTTGGTTATGAAATTCTTTAAAAAAAAATAAAATATAATTTTTACCATTGAAAATAAATATTGCTGTAAAATTTTAATTTTTAAATAGTAAAATATTATTATCAACACTAGCCACTGTAGTCACTTTAATCATTAATAAATAAGGGTGTTTTGGCCAAAGTAAAAGTCTACAGTCATTTATAAATAGATTGTCACTAAACAAAACTCAAATAAAATTTTTACATCACAAAAATGGTCCAAGGAGAGGGTTTTGGCCAAAAACACCCTTTTTAATTATGCTACCTTTAAAAAAAATTTAAAAAAGTATTTTATCTCCTTACACTACAAAATTCCACTCATACCCTTATTTGATTTGAAAATAAATCAAATTTTCAAGCCAAAATATTCTGAAGTGAACAAAATCTAACACAAATTTTGAGAGAAATAAATGTAATTTATTTATCTTTCTAAATATAATAAGTTTTATACATATATATAACATTTATTGTATGAATGAAGATAAAAAGAATTTGGACATGTTTATTGGGAAACAATATAGATACACTTTTCTAGTTTTCAAAACTGGCTGATGAATAGGTGCCAAATTCAATCTCTGATTTATTATGTTTGTGGAAACTACCCGATATATCTGGTAGGAAAAACAATTATTCACTGTCACACGTGACAATAACATAATCATGTCACAAGTAGATCTGAATCGTCCATTTACATAAATTTATAAATAAATAGTTCAAATCTATTTTTGACATGACCACTTCTGACGTGAAATTTTTTTCGTGACAAATTATGGTCCAAGACCCGTGAGTCTATTTAGAAAATTAACACAACGTTAAGGCTGGCTATCTTTCTTGGCAACTAGCTTCAAAGATCTTGTATAAGAACAATGTTAAGCCCTATTTTCTTCTCTTACAATCTCAGCTAGCTAGGACTTTTGCTTAGTTTGGTTTGGTTGTTTTTCCTTGTGCCTTGTTGACTATTTAAAGCCTTTGAATGTTGTTCCACGTACACATCTGAATCCCAATAGCAATTGTATATAACATTGTACTGTGTTTGGACTGGGCAAATTCACAAATAAACAAAGATTTGGATCTAAGTGGATACACATGCTCATTCTCAAAATAAAGTTCCCTTTCACATGTACAAGTAGGCAAACTAGAATTAGTTACATAAAACAAAGAGTAATGATATGCAAACATGAAAACCAAATTTGCATACAAAAAAAGAGTACATGTTCTTGATACTTTTTGATTTAATTTCGTGCATGTGAACTTTTTTTGTGGGTGAATTGTGCATGTAAACTTGTAACCAAAAACAATGATTAAGCTTTCACCTTGTACATGGTATAATTTCTATCGGCCACTTAACGTAGTACTGGTGATTTCATTGCCCCTAGTTGTTGTTTCCTTGCTTGACCAAGAACTAGTCTGAGGAACATTTCTTGCAGTGAAGAAGCCAGGCTGTTTGGCTTGAGGCAATGCAGCATCACTGCCCAACATCAGAACTACAGATGACATGCTTGGCCTATCCTCTGGACTTTCTTGTACACATAAAAGACCCACATGGATTGATCGCAACATTTCAATTTGGTAGCATGAGTCCCATAGAGCCTCATCAATCAATTCTAATGACTTGCCTTCTTCATAGAGTCTCCATGCCTGAATAATCCACTACAATATTAGTAGTACGAGACAGAAGATCCTCTATCTCAACATTTCTCTGTTCTCCTTTCTCAAGACACTCACAGTTAGACTATGCCTCAAGAGACCCGTACCTCTAGATTCTCAAGGATCCAACGACTGAGTGTTTCAGAACAGAAGGCAGAGATAATTTAGGAATGAAGGGTCTTTTATCCTTATTGGAACATGTGCATATTGTTGGAATTTTAATAAAAATAAAATTAATTATTTCTATTTAATTTGATTGACCGTTATTAACATTAATATTGATTTTAAATATTTAAGTTACAAAGATATTATTAAGTTTTATTATTATAATTATGTAATGATTAAATGTTATGAGATTTTCACTTATATATATTCCTGTGTTTTCTAAAGATGGAGGATGCATAAAAACCACAAGAAGACATATGTATATGAGATATTAAGTTTTAACATAAGAATATTTTATCTATTTTATATATTTTTGGGCAACTATGGTTCGTGACTTGTTCGTATCCTCTTGGTGGATGTGAACATCGGATGAGAAAGGCTGTGAGCGCTTGGGTTGTATCTTGGAGCCATTGCAATCCGGTTGTACTGTCACGTGGGGAGGAACAATGGCTTTAGGATAGTGACTACAAGGCTCTCAATCTCACAAGCCAAATCTTTCTTACTCTTTGTGAATTTACTTGCCTTCATATTTTATCTATCGTAAATCTCTTAATCATTTTATTAATTAAATTATATTAGTGCATAACTTTTTTCTAACAATCTTAAAGCCGTTAAGTTTTTTTTTTTATTACTATTATTTTTTTAAATATCTATTTCAAATGTCAAGGAAGACAAATGTTTGGTACATGTTGAATTTAAAGTCTTTCCTTACTCTTCATATGTGAAATTAGTTGGTATCTTTGTCTAATTTGTTTGTTTTCATCCATGTAAAAGTTATTGAATTATCAAAATGACTCTAGAATCTAGAAAAATGACTCTAGAATCTCACAACTATATATCTCTACGTTTGTTGTTGTATATTATTTATTACTAGATATGTACCTTGAAATTGGTTTGTTAAGTAATTCCTTTTAAATTATTTGGTTCTTGAGTTTATGTTATATGTAATTCTGAGCCTTCCTCTAATTTGTAGAAAATTAATAATTATCTCTCGGCAACAGAAAGTTATTACAATCATATATATATATATATATAAGGAAAAAGTAGTTTTGTGTTTAACTTGTGAAACATTTTAGAGAATAATTAATACAAATTTCATATGCAAGGTTATTTGAAATTTGACTTTTATGATGGTTAAGGGGCTTTTATAATTATGTCATATGTTCTATGATAAATAATATTATAGCATATTTGAAATTTTTATTGTATATGCGATTGGTAGCTTTTAATCATTGGTGGTTAATATTGAGGATATTGTATTGCGATGTTAATGTTAAATAATAGTAATAGTCAAGGAATATAAATTAAAATAACTTGAAATGGAATATAATTGTTATCAAATAACATTTCGAATTTGTTGCTAGGTAGTGCATGAAAGAGTTGCAAATTTAATTTATTACTCAGTCTTTGATTTACCATTACTATATGTAAGTGATAGCATGCCACGGTTGAATATTAGTATTTGGATCTTAATGTTAATTAAACAGAAATAAAGATTTATGAGAATAAATGTGTTATAAATGTTGTAAATGTTAAAAAACTTAAAAGTGTATTGTGATTTTTGAGACATGATAGAATGTATGCAACTTTGTGTGTGATAATAGGTTTGACATGAGTAGATAAATAATAAAAGTTTGATAACATTAGATTACTTGTTCTAGTTGTGATTTGTAGTTGGTTCATAATTGACAAAATTAATATTTGAATTATTTTGTAACTACTAAAAATTTAAAGTGTGTCATGAATTTTACAATTAGTGAATTAAAGGTTATTGGCCTTGTTAATGTTGTGGGTTACAAAAATTTTGAGAGTTTACTATATCCCGTAAATTATATTGTTTAATGCAGTGTGTGATTGGAAATTTATGTGGTTTCTTTTATTTGAAAAAATAAAACAAATTATGTGCAAGAAATGACGTTTGTACATATGATTAGTCTTATTTGGTTTTAGTAAATCATTTTGGTCATATCACAGCCATACATATATTTATGACTTATCTAGCTCTACTTTATTACATAATCAATTATTATAAATATAAGATGGGATGGTATTTTGCCACAGGTTTGCTATTTATAAAATATAAATTAGATTTACAATGGGTAAATGCCATAATATTTATTTCATAGTTTAATTTTGAATTCACCATAAATGTCATTTAATTTATAATGGGAGACTTGAATTGTAAATTTATTAGCCTCATAGCTTTTGTAAAGAGTTACAAAGAATTTATATATATTAAAACAATTAATGGGTTATGATATATATATCATTTGAATATTGATGATTTGGAGAGCATTAAAAGTTTGAAAAATGTGAGATAAATTCAATTAGGTTATTTGAGCAAGTTACATAATTATAATTGTTGGTAGAGTCATTGTCTTCTTCGCTTTAAATTATTATTTTAAAAAAAAGGATTGGAATGTGGAGAATGAATTATTTGTATGTTTACAAATTCTTGGTTTAAGATTGGTTTATTCTAAGTACTAGCATAATTTTAATCTTGCATCATTATTTAGTATAATTGATTGTTGGTTTCGAAAAGCAAAAAGAGTTGTTGTTATGTAAATTAATAATTTTATTTTGTTAAAAATAATGAGGATTGCAATGTGGGGAAAAATTATTTTGTACAGTTAGTTTGGAGCTTGATCAATGTTTGTAGGTTTCACTCTGAAATCATTCTTACTAGCTGTGGTAAATTGAATTTATGAGTTACAAATATTTGAGGGTTTTTATATTCCATAAAATTATGATTTAACATAATGTGTGAATGTGTATTCATGGGATTTAATTCTTTATAATAGTTACCTGTTTAATATACATATTGCTTAAATTAGTTGTCTCAACCCTTATTGGTGGAAAATATTTTGGGTTGGAATGTAGTGGTAAAGATTATATTTCATTTAATCATGTCTTATCAAGTTACATGTTACTTTCGTGGTGCTAAGAAGTTAGTTTTGTGCGTGGGAAATGGTTTTGAATTATTACACATTAATCTTGGTTTTGTAATTTTTAGTTACAGTTTATTTAAAAAAAAATTGTGCCCACTTTTGTGTGCTCATAAAAGGGATTTCATGATGTGTTTGCAAGAATTTTATATATTAGATTGGATGTTCTTGATCAATATTCTTTTAGATTTTTTGTTTTATTTATTTGTATTTTATGATTAATTTATGACTGATTGATGAATTGTTGTCAAATAATTAAATGAAGAATTGTAAATGTTCTGTAACTTATGGTCATTGAGTGTAGGCTTGCATCTCATTGGTTGTTCACAAATTATTAGTTACAAAAAATGTTCAATCTATATTTCATGCTTACCATCTAGCCTTGTAGTAAAAATTGTTAAAGTTGAGATTCTGTTAAAATTCTTTTAAGTCTAATGTGATGTTAAATCTTTATTTGTATAGTTGACTAGTGCTTACTTTGTGAAAATTTTACTTTTTTAAATGTTTAAAAATAATTCAAACTAAATGTTTAAAATTGGTTAAAAAATGGTGAACATATGAGGGTTCTATGCAATTATTTTCACACTTTAGTTGTTCTTATTTTATGGTTACCATCTACAAATGTTAAAAGGTAAATATATTTGAAAATTTGAATTAATTTGAGGTTTTAAAACTTTTTCTATTGAGGACATGGTGTGGAGAATTTTAAAGGTAAGAAATATTCTATGATGACCGGGGTCGGGAATCGCCTCACTTTTCCTTAGTTGTGTGGATTCGTATTTTTGAAAACTCTTGTTACAAGTTTCGTTCTTATTTGTTTCTTTTTTGAAATTTCATTTGTTCCTAAAGGTACGAGATTGGATCCGGAGGGTTTCGAACCTAATTGGAAAATTCTGGGTTGGGAAACTGGGCCGCAAGTGCGGGGGCATGGGCTGCACGTGCGGGATGGGGGCTGCACGTGCGGGAAATAGGGGAGTCTTGGGGTGCATACTGGAATAAATGCAGGTGTGGAAAGGTGCCGCACGTGCGGGAGACACACGCCGCATGTGCGGGAGTGGGCTCTTCACATGCGGGAAAAGCCCAGATCCGAGAACTCTATTTTTTTTTTCTTCTCTATTTGGTTGGGAATATCTCGTATTTTTCTTATATCTCTCTCTCTAAAAATACCATATTCTCTCCCATCTCTCTAAAAACCCTCACCTAGCACACCAAACAATTGATCCTTCTCAATCCATTGAGATTTTGAATCAAATTCTTCTCAAAGCTTGAAGAGCTAATCAAGAGCTACCTTTGGAGTGGTGGAGACCTTATTTCAACACCTTCAAATTTTTAGGGTTTTCATCTCATCTTTCATCAACAAGCTTGAGGTATGGAGATTTCTTTGAGTTATATATATATATATATGCTAGATTTTGTTGATTCAAAAGTTTCTTTAATGATATTGAAAGTTTGTTTTGTCTCATAAATGTTGAGGGTTTTAAAAGTGGGTTTAACCTATCTCTCTCTCTCTAAACTATTTTCTTGAGGGTTTTAAATCACATGGTAAGAGAGGTGATGTTTGGGGGAGAAACCTTTTCAAAAGATGAGAAAATGTTGATTTTGGAGAAAACCCCTAGAAATTTGGGGTTGAAGAATATGTTGAGGATCCATGAAATATTATTACTACCAATGTTATTATTATTTTCTTGTGTGTCAAATGTAATGAAGAAAGGGGACTTTCTTAACAATGTTGATGAAGGAGAAATGGTAGGGAATATGTGGAATAGTTATTTTTATTTATTATTGTTAAAATGTAGCTATTCTTGATGAATCTAAAAGGATGCATGGTCATCTTGTGAACCTTACATTTGGAATGAGAAGTGGAAATTACAACCACTAATG